CTACAAAGTTTAGGTTGGAAATAAGGGAGGTGGTAGGGAGACCAGAGAGAAGGGTGAACTGATAGGCTTAAGACCGTAGTACTGGGGACTTACTGGGGAAAGGCTGAGCTAAAGAATGGTTGTATCTGGGAGGCGTGATCTAGATGACACCAAAACTGGCTGACAAAAGAACATTTGTAGTCTTCATGTCAGAACCAGAGCCTAGATGACACCTGTCTGCCCTCCTGCATGGTTCTCTAAACTGGACATAGTGATCAGAGAGGGACATAAGAGAGAAGGCAGTAGTGGTGCCAAGGCTTGATACGTCCTCTGATTTGGGAGGATGGAAAAGAGAGGGATCAGGAAGGGGGTATGTAAGTGGATGGACTGGGAGCCGGGTGGAGGGTTCTGGGGAGATACTGCTTGTGAGGTCAACTGTCCCCATCATGGCAGGGTTGTGTGACCTTTGAGGATGTGTTTGTTTATTTCTCCCGGGATAAGTGAGAACTCCAGAGGAGGCTCAGAGATCTCATGTACCCGTGATGTGATATTGGGTAACTGTGCACTTGTGGCCACACTGGGTAAGACCCTACTTTAGTTATCTGTTGCTATATGGCAAACTATCCCAAAGTTTAGTGGACTGAAAGGACAAAAAATTTATAATCTCAGTTTCTGTGGGTCAAGAATCAGGCACATCCTACTTGAGTATCTCTAATTCAAGTTCTTTCATGCCTACACTATCAGGCTGTCCTCCAGGGCTGCTGTCTTATCTAAAGGCTTAACTGGAGGAGAATCTCCTTCCAAATTTATGCACATGAGCATGAAGCTGTTGGACTGAATTAATCTGTTTATTGCTGGCTATTGGCAGAGCCCTCCTTCAGTTGTCACGTTGTCTTCTCTATAAGCAGGTCATGATAAGACATGAGGGTGAACAAGAGACTGCATCCAAGATGGACTGGTATTTTTGTAACATATTCTCAGAAGTAGCATCCTATCATTATTGCTATGTTCTGTTCATTAGAAAAGAGTTGTTTTTTTTTTTTTTAAAAGATGACCGGTAAGGGGATTTTAACCCTTGACTTGGTGTTATCAGCACCACGCTCAGCCAGTGAACTAACCGGCCATCCCTATATGGGATCCGAACCCGGGGCTTGGTGTTATCAGCACCGCACTCTCCTGAGTGAGCCATGGGCCAGCCCCGAAAAGAGTTTTTTATAGGTCTAGTCCACGCTTAGCTGGAGGGGCTTAACAAGGATGTAGATAACAAGGAGTGGGTATAATTCCTAACTGGACTGGGAATTTATCAAAATCTCAACAAGATGTTTTGTAAATATAGACAAGCACATGATAAAATTTACATGGAAGCCAAAGGAAAAAATTGATAGGGAAAACAATTTTTAAAAAGAAGTAAAAGGGGC